CACGAGCGGACACCACACCGCCATGGCAACGACAACGACGAAACCGACACGATGTCGCACGGGGCCGCCACAGTGGACTCACCCCTGCACGAGGCGCGTGGGGGCGCAATGGGTGCATGCGCGACATTGCCAGCAGGCTCTTGTAAGAGGTCGCTTGAGAACGCGTCGGCAGTTAAAGGTGCGGCGGAGAGGTGGCGTGAGAGCACGTCAGGAGGCGATCCCGCATGCAAGAGGCGACGTGAGAGCGTGCCGGCAGGCAAGTCAACGCACGAGAGATCGCGTGAGCACGCGTCGTTGAGAGGCGACTTGGAGAGCAAGCCACACGAGAACGCGTCAAGAGGTAACTCTGCGCACGAGATTGTGCGTGAACACGCTTCATCGCGAGGTAACTCCGCACGGGCCAGGCCGTGTCAGCACGCGTCGGTAGGCAACTCCGTGCACGTCCACAGTAACAGCATGCCAGCAGACGACCCAGCACGCACAAGACCGGCGGAGAGCGAGCGGAGAGGCGACTCTACGTCCGTGAGCGAGATTTCGTCCGACGGTCGACGCACGACGCGGGAACCACGGCCGAGTCCGTCTGCGCTCTCTGACCACCCCGCTACCGGTGCCCCCGAGAGCTGCTGGCGAAACAGCTTCCTCGCGAGGGACTCGAGCGAGAGAGAGGGCGCCGCTGTCATCAACGGTGGCGTCCTCTACTGGCGACGTGGCGACGCCGCTTCCGCCTCGAAGGCGCCGCCGATCGCCGATGCATGCGATGAGCCCGTCGCCGCGGCAACCGCGACCGAGCGAGGAGACGCCGAGGTCGCCACCTGGGGCCCGAGGAGCTGGTCGGTGGAGGGCGGGTTTCGGGGGGAGGGGCGGGAGAGTGGCAGACGACGGCGCGGGGGACGGGGCGACGCCTCGGACACGGTGGATCATTGGGATGACCCGCCCTCGTGACGCGTCTGTCCCTCCTCCCTTCCACCCCAAGGAGCTAAATATAACAAGGAGAGGAAGCGGATTGGCTGTATGCTTTTCGCATCAAGGACGCCATCTATGGACCATAATCAGCTGAAACGGCTGTGCAGACCCGAACCCAGAGACAATAGAACACTAATCTGTTCTAGGCCAATATGACCAAATATGGCGGCGCTTCCTCTCCTTGTAATATTTAGCTCCTCCCTTCCACCCGACCATACCATTCTCATTGCCTCACAGTCACAGTAAAACCCGGATACAAAACATCGGGAGTGAATGATAGCGTATTGTAGTCACTGTTATCACTTATTTTTTACTCCTGCATATGCAGTAGAGCACGATGAGTATTTTATACGGATAAGTACAATACGGTGCAGTTTTTTCGGAATAAATACGACCACCACATGTAATATATTACAATCATTACAAGCGTTACATATTTACTTAGTAGCGTACAAATGATTAGGAGTAAAATCATCGCTCCTGATAGGATCATGAATGTACGTGCGTACGAACGATCTTGGATTTTTAGAGATGTCTGCCACGACGCAGCCATGACCATGCGTTCTGATAAGAAAACAGCTAATGGAATACATAAACGTTATCACATATATGTTAAACGGAAGGTTACGGTAAATACTTCGGAAGACGATCTAAATCGCATGCATTGATAAGCATTACAGCTAGAATTCACGATGAAAATCGAAAGTCATGTTTTAGCTCTCGCTCAAGTGAACTTGGGAGAATTTGCGTGTAATATACACTATGATTAAAAATATCGCCTGCGTACATTTTGTTGTAAGTTCGTAGCTTAGAGACGATGTATAGCCTATTCGTCTCTCCAGTAAATCTAGTGAGCTGTGCATCGTAACTGCCTTGAATTCAGACATGAATTTTCTATGAAAGGCTAAATCCACTCCCCCATCTAAAACATGTTATGTTAACATTATATATATCCGTCTTTTATGGTCTTTGATGTGTATGACCATGTAATTAAATATTTGAGCCAGCCATAATAATGCTGTCCTGTGCATCATTTAGTATTTGCGCATTTTGAATTACATACACCGAATTGCGATTAACTGAATCACAGCGTCAAGTTCATCGAACGAAAAAAGAAAGGAATGACCATGCACCCATAACATAACGTACAGGTCTGTCCGCACATAATTTACAAGTCACGCTACTTGACTACTAAGAGTTAGACGTGCGAGAGCTACATGTGCGCTTTGTATGTGTGGTTGCGTTCATGGGCAGTGCTATTGTCATTACACACCGGATAGCTGTGTGCTTGCATGTATGGAAAGCCATCCCCTTCAAAAATAATTTTCAAACATTTAAAATACACAATTTTAAATCAAATTAATTACACAATTAAACAATTCAAATTAATTAATAAAAATGCAAATTATTTTATATTGTTCGAGAAATTTAAATTCAAAATTTAAAATCAATTCACAGAATAACAAGTCAATTTATTAACTTGCAAATTAATTCACAACTTTTCAAAATAATTGCCTGATGTACAAATTCCTTCACGACTCTCATCTCTTTCATGACTGTACAATAGTAACCAATATTTGGCAACAAATCCAATCATGGATCATTGATAATATCAGGAGTAAGATAATATAGGCTATCTAGGTATATATAATATATCCTATATTATCTTACTCCTGATAATATAGGTATTAGAATAAACTTAACAAAAAATAAATGTATATTTGGCATCTTGGAGAAAAACCAAGAAATAATAATTTTTTTAATTATAGTTATAAAATTTCATATCTATAGAACTGATGCAGGTGTCGAAACACTAAACCATTTTTGCTAGATTATTCACCGTCATATTATTATTGAAACGTTGCAATTAAGTTCCTGCGGGTGTGATAATCATATGCCTGTCACATTCAAAATATATATTCCAATAGGAACTTCACGCTGTATCAACTGGGACATGCAGTTTCATTTTTCGTGATTTTTTTATGCACGATCGACGCGCACTTATTCCCAAGTTCTTGTTCCGGCAAAAACTCAGATACACGATTGAGTTTTGCTCGCATTCATGCACGCTCGCGCGCGAAAGTATAGACACGCACCAGGGGCGGATTCAGACGGTCTAGATTTCAAAGTGCCCTTCGAAATTTACAGAAAATACAAAAAATACAGAAAACAATTTGATGGAATTTGGCTATATTCTTTATTTGTGTTCTTTTTCTTCTGATTGACAGGACTTGAAGGAATTCAAAATTTTACATGGTAACAAAACTAGCTTTGATATCTGAAAAAGAAGGGAAGTGCTTGAATCATTCTGCATTAATTGCTGGTGGGTATGCAAAGCGCAGGGAAAATGAAGCAGAAATAAAATTCCATATGGTTTTTAACTGCTTGACTAAATGTGTGCTCAAATGGTGCCCTAGGGACCCTTGAAATTTTGAAATTTCCTGGGGGAGGCCCCCCAGACCCCCCGCCATGTCCCCTTGTTGAGGGATGGGCCCTTAAAATCTGGAAAAATACTGTCTAGCCTCAGCCCTGGATCGATCCGCCCTTGCGCACACGCCCGTCCGCCCGCGTGCACGCACGCACACACGCGCACACGCGCACACGCGCGCACACACACACACGCGCGCGCGCGCGCGAAAACACCTGCACCACTGATCTCTATTATACTAACTTTATTATAATAGTAGAGATCAGTGACCTGCACGCACGATGCACGCACACACATGTTGACACAGTTCTTATGCAAATAATAAACTGATATACGCTTGGCCTGACCCCGCTCGCCCGACACACACGTTAAAAAAATTTCGCTTTTACCGCACATAATTATATACCTAAACGCTTCAACTCTTCGTGAACTATTTCGTAACGAACGCTTTCCTATTCTCGGACTGTGTACCGACTTTTTCTACAGCATTCTCAATCGTAATTTAGCTACATATAATTAGGCTCGGAAAACAAATTTATAAATAGAAACGCGCGGTGCTACGATATAGGTAGTACCGGTAACAATAAAATTTGACGTCAACAAAGAAACCTATATATATTGCACGTCCAAATTGGTTACATCGAAATCTGGCTAGCATATGCGTCTCACTGGCACAGATGTTTTTATTCCACACAAAATATTTGAACTGGCAACCTTAGTGGCCTATTTAACCCTGGACGTGCATGCATGTGGTTCAGTGTAACACAAACTGCGAAATTACAAATTGTATTTACAGGCTACAGCATTCTGAAGTCATATATTCGTAAATTATAGCTATATAGCTCTGTGTAGACGTACGTACGTCATGGCGTGCACTATGGCCGGGTTGTGTTGTATGTTGTGGGAAACGCCCGTAGTTGTGATATTTTTAGAATATTTGTTTACTAATGTTTGGGCATGATCTAGCCTCTAGGCTCAATCCAGACCAGTTCTAACCAGACATGCGGTTTCCTTATAAGTGGTGACTGTGGGGTGTGAATAAAACCCGGACCCGTTATAAGTGGGGGTGTGTTTACTCATACCTCAGTTAGGTTAGCGATTGGTGGGTGTGCGCTTCTCAACCAATCTGTGACTAGCTAGCTATGACGTTTATGATGGACCATACTAAGTAGAAGTTACTCGTGGTGGTGTCCGTTTCGCTCACATATGTCATGTCATTACGCATAGATTATATACAACACATATATATGTGTTGTATATATCTATGGATTACGTAACAGGAAAAAACACCCTCCTCCTTAACCATAATATAAATTTAATCAAAATTTACAGTTCATGGAGTAACGCCAGCTCTAATAAAATTATCAATTTTATTCGACCCCTATTTCATGCAAAATAGGTTCTTCCGATCGACGTACGATACAAAAGTCAAGGGCTACAGTGCAGAATGTCCGCGAGCAGCTATTGTGTATGATCTATCCACGTTGCGACGCACGCTTTGACACGCCATACGCAGCAGCTGTAGCGTGCACGTTATAGTTGGTAACCTAGAGGCTAGTATTGGTAAGTGTAGATCATACTAGATGAACGTTTGTAGTGTAACTAGTGTTGGACGTTGTTGACGCGTGGGCGTATGTACGAATGTTGTTGTAAATCTTGTACGTGTGAAGTTGGAAAAGTAAGCTGTGGCCATTTATTCAAGCTTGACGAAACAAATAACGTTTTAACTTGACGTGATGTAGTAGGGTAATTAATAATAATAATATATAATATATATTAAAAATTATTATATATTTGTTAGATCGGTAGACTACGTATATATGTAGTTTGTGAATTCCAGCATTTAATGGCGCACATTCGTGACCTAAATTCCAAATAACGTACCATACCACAGGCCCTTGGCTCTTAATATAGACTTATAATTTTATAATTTATAAGAGACTTATAATTTATTATAAGAGACTTATAATTTATAATAGACTTTATAATAGACTATACCACAGGCCGCTTCGCTCTTAATATAGACTTATAATTTTTCGAAACTTGAGCCTCCAAGGGCCTGTGACCATACCAACGAAATTAGAACGTGGTTGAATATGGCATATGTGTTTTGTTTCATAATTCGATTTTTGTTTTATGGTTTATGATTAAATAATCAAATATTATATGCGATAAATCAAATGTTACATGCAATAAATCAAATGTATGTGATAAATCGAATGTTATATGTGATAAATCGAATGTTATATGTGATAAAATGTTATATGCAATAAATCGACAATAATTCCCTGTTTTAAATGTTCACATTATTTGATTATATATCAGAAAATAGAATCAAACCATTCGATTATGGCATCAAACCATTCGGTTTTGAATCGAAATATTCGATCTGTGAATCGAACCATTCAATTCTGGAATCGAATCATTATTTATATTCCTTATACCTTCTATTATCTACTCCTGATATATATATATATATATATATATATATATATATATATA